AAAGAAGCACTAGAAAGATTTTTGATACGTTCGTGAAATTTAAATTCGGAAAACTTTTCAACTGAAGGTTGAGAGTTAAGTTGGTTCCTAGTGAGAATAAGGGAGTTGAGTTTCTTGCTTACTTTTTTAAATTTTAAATTACTTTGATAAGAATAAATTTTGTAACAAAGGAGAATTATTAGAGATAAGATTGTCATAACAAATTTTCAAGTCCACATTAGTACGGTCTAGTTTGGCATAGTGTTTGCAAACAGCTCTTCTGATGATTTTTCTCTCAGTGGAGTGTTTCAAGTGAGATGGTATATTGGTTGGCATTGTGGTTCTGGTAAACTTCAATTTCACTAAATTCCCTTTTCAACTAGATCACTTACTTTCAGGTGAGCACTGATGATGTCGAAAGCGCTTTGCAAGAATTTTAAAATATTATACACTTTAATACAAAACCTCTTCGATTCATTAATTCTATTCAATTCAAACGAGATTCCTTTGGCTGGGTTCTCATCAAATAAGCAAATGAATGTCAATACGATGTCATCGATGACATGGGTGGATTGAACTCATCCCTTGACATAATGATAATTTTCATTTGCACCCAAATTGCACCTAAAGTCGTGATTTATCATTAAATTGTGCGTTTTTTCTGATAATGTTGTGCAGATGATTAGGAGCCCTAAGGCAGAGGTCTTACGGCGAAATATTGATGTCGACCAGTGAAGATGACAGTGTTCCATGTAGGTAAATTTTTTACCTTTCATTCAGTATATTGTGTAGGAATCCTGCCAATGATATTTGATTAAATTCCATAACGAATGTTTGGACTACAAACTGAATAGAAAAAGGTGGTTTTTGTATTCATATCTGTGTTCATATAAAAGTTTTTGTTTTCTTCCGTGTAATTCAATGTTTGTATGAAAGCAGCTGTTTCTGGAGGGCTTTTTCTCCCAGTTTGTATTCGAAAGTTACTTTTTTGCATCATCTACATATATATGTAAAGAGTAACTTATTTTGAGATTGATTGCTTCCTTCACCTCTTCGGAAGATTCCCACATTTCTTTTGTAGTCAAGACGGAGTAATAGAAAGACAAAAATTTTTTCCAAAAAAATTGATTTTCATTTTTGAAAATCAGCCTCCATTTAACTTCCAGCCCTACTGGTCAACCCTTTCAAATTTTTAAAGTTGACAAGTCATCCCTAATTCAAAAGGTATACTGAATACCATGGTATTTTTGAATTGTATTTGAAAGGTTTCAAATTTCTTGGAATTAAGATAAGAATGGTTCAACTATGTATTTGACAAAGAATGAGAGCACAAATAATATGAGTAACGAGAAAAATCCACAAACACAAACTGTAAGGGACACTGAGAAGTGAATAAAAATATGCAAAATATCTATAATTTCGATTGAAACAGAAAGAGAGATAGATGATATGTTTATTTACCCTTATCGATCATATACATGACATTGAACAGGTCAATTGAAAGAACAAGTGAAACCAAAGATCAAAAACACAAACTAAAATCAAAATATGCACATCAAAATTTTGTTTCATGAGTCGTTTTTTTATGCTGCAGTCTCAAATCTCTAATTTGAGAGCTCTCTATGTTCGCTAAAATATTCTTAATTCTTGTTTTGTAATTGTAATTGTAACTATTTTGCAGGTAGTGATATTTTGGCTGAAATATGCTAAATTCTTGTTTTGTAATTGTAATTATTTCGCTACATATCTATGTATAGAGTAACTTCTTTTGAAATTGATTGTTTCCTTCCTCTCTTCGAAAGATTCCAACTCCTGTCAACTTCCAGCCCTACAGATCAACCCTTCCAAATTTTTGTTGACAAGTCATCCCTCATTCAAAACGTATACTTAATACCATCGTATTTTTGGATAGGATTTGAAAAGTTTCAAATTTTCTAGAATTTTTGTCCAAATTGTTAATAATGATTGAGAGTGTTTCACACTATCACATTGTTGTGAAGTTGCTGCAGCAATTCAATCAAAATAAGTTTTTGCTACGGAATCACCGTGTGTGTCTTCATAGTCTTCATAATTTTTGTCAGCTGTAACATTTCATTTTTCCGCTTTTCATTTTATAGTGTTCGCGTGACAATCTGAATACAAAGAAACCTTTTGGACAAAATTTCGTAGATTGTCACATATCAATTATTATTTTTTTTCATATTTTCACAGATCTGGGACTCGTCTGAATAATTTCACGGTTATGTATACAAATTTACGTCGACTGAAACTCTTCTTTTTTTTCAGTAGTAGACTTGTTTTCCAAGTACCTACTTTTAACAATGTTATACTTAGAATCGATGGACCCCCTGTATACTCCTTGAAGGGACGGATGTAACAGGTGATAGCATTGCCTGAACTTTGAACTGATTCTGATTTTATGTGTGAAGGAAACATTTTCTAAATATTCTTTCCTGTGTCTGGTTTCACATAAATCCTGATCCATCCGACATTGAAGATGAATTTTTTTGTTTCCAATAGATTTGCTCAAATTATTATTTGTTTTATGAATCACATCCAAGTCGTTCTTATTCACAAACAAACAAACAATATTTTTGAAGGGTTCACCAAAATAAATTTGTCAATGTCATATATCGCTCATTATTTGAAGTGAGTTGTACCTTGTCAATTTCATCACATATTCTATCTATATCATAAATTTTTACCTTTCCTGTCGAATGTACAATGAATGAAGTTGACTTTTCTTTGTTACTTGAAAGATGAATTTTGGAAAACGAGAAAAAAAATCGAAAATTGCATATTTCAACCTGATTTTCGATTCTCAGAAGAATTTTCGATATTGTCGATAACATGAAGGTATCTTTTAGTTTGAGAAACCTCTCATACGCTCGAAAGAGTTGGGTTGTATTTCAGGCTCAAGTCCTGTGATACAGTGAATCCTTTTTCTCTATACTTTTCCGGATAATTAATGCATTTTGTATGGAATCCTTGTTACTTGTTCTTTCACTTTCATGAAAATTTAACTTCTGTAGTTACTGTAGAAAGATATATTATTTCGAAGCCATAATGAGCTTGTTAGTTTCTGAGCATTTAACAACCCAAGATATGATTTATCATGAGTGTGCATTTCGATTCCACCAATCATTATAGCAATCATTTTTATCTACCTCCTTCAAACAGTTTTGTTCAGTTGTTGAAATGTTGATATGCAGGGTATTGTGGTTATTTATTCTGGCGTTGAGTCTTTCTTGTTCTTCAGAAGGTAAGTATACTCTATACTGGATTGAATTATTGAATGTTTTGCTTCTTAATGAATTTGTTCCAATAGTTTCGGAAATATTTATATCAGAAATTCATTTTCTATGTTATGAAAATATGAAATGTTGAAATATGTAAAGAAAGATGTATAAATAGTTCAATGGATAAAGAAAGAACTCCATTAGGGATTGAAGAATTGAGATGAGAATGGTTCAACTATGTATTTGAGAAAGTATGATAGCACGAAATAATATAAGTACACGAGAAAAATCCACAAACACAAACTGAAAGGGACACTGAGGAGTGAATAAAAATATGCAAAATATCTATAATTTCGATAGTAACAGAAAGATAGATAGATGATATGTTTATTTACCCTTATTTGATTCTTGTTTTGTAATTGTAATTGTAACTATTTTACAGGTAGTGATATTTTAGCTGAAATATGCTAAATTCTTGTTTTGTAATTGTAATTGATAATATTTTTCAGGTAGTGATATTTCAGCTAAAATATGCCAAATTCTTCTTCTGTAATTATGATTGTAACTATTTTTCACGTAGTGATGTTTTGGCTAAAATATGCTGAATTATTGTTTTGTAATTGTAACTATTTTGCAGGTAGTGATGTTTTGGCTGAAATTTGCTAAATTCTTGTTTTATAATTGTAACTATTTCATAGGTAGTGATATTCTGGCTAATATTTGCTGAATTCTCGTTTATCAATTGTAAATGTTACTACTTTGCAGGTAGTGATGTGGAACTAAAAAACGTCAACAGCTATTGTACAGTTGCTGATATAGTTACTATAAAATCCATGAAAACAGGAGAGTATGTAACTGCTGGAAATTCTGGAGATACGTTAGAGATGAATCCTGAAGAGAAGGCAGAACAAAGGTTCTGGAAGTTACTTGCTGGAAATGGGTTTTACATTTTCCAAAATGTGAACACTTCGTGAGTATTTTGATTCTTTATTCGACGATGGAGTTTATCATGTCAATTATTTCCTTAACACCGATGAATTGATGGAAAAGTTGGAGGTTGAGCAACCACAGAATATCACAGCGATGGCTTCTTCCCAACAGCGATGACAGTAACAGCATTGAAACTGACATAGTCGCGTCTTTGCACGCTTTGGAGTCGGTTCATCACGTGTAGTTCACTCAGATGACGAACATTTTCATCATAATCTTTGAAGATGGTGTTATATTTCATCCATTGTCACATATTGACGCATAAATTCAGGTTTTTATGGTGAAACAGCTTCAAACACAGCTCAAAATCATCAATTCGTTGCTGTTTTTAGAGCTGTTTTTGAACAACTTCACTTCGGATCATCCAAAATTTTTTGTGGACCTTATTGATGTTTTCGTTGGTAACAGCCACTTTGGTGTGTTCACTGTGTGCATCGTTCTCGTTGCTGATTTTAGCTTATTTAAACTCACCAAACCTCTTGTCAACGATCGATTTTCCTGGTGCAAAGTCCAAGTAATGTTAATCAAGCCTTGGCTTCAACAATATTTTGTTGCCAGAAAGCAATGCTTTATTGTCACACATAATTTTTTTTCATCCAGTTTTTCCAAACTAACAGAAGTTGTTTCAGTCAAAATTTTGTATCCCATGAACTAGCAATCGGACAGCTGTAAAATTTGTACATGTGACTTCAAAAGGTAGGAGTCAACTAAAAATCATATGGATTCAATACTAGTATCGCCATGTATGTGTTACCCTGCAGATTTCTCAGCCCATCTATTAAGACACAAATTAAGTAAAATTTAGTCAACATAAAATCCCTTTGGGAATTATTGCATAGAGAAATACGTGTTGAGATTTTGTAAACTGTACAACGAATATCTCACAATGAATTGTTGTAAGTATTTTCAGACAATTCACTGAAAATCATAAAAAAAGAGAACCAGTGATTGCAAAAGTATTTTTTTTCATTTCAAGATTAGCGCATCAACCAACATGCTTATTGTATTCAAATTAAATGATACACGTAGTGATATTTGTCAAGAATGACGTGAGATTTTTAATATTACAAGTGTTACTGAGAGTTTCTCGTAGTTTTTTCCGTATTCCAAATTCTATTTTTGCTTCCTGATACTTGGGACAAATTTTAAATACGTTTTTGACAGTTACTGCTATATCACATATATCACAGATAGTTTGTTTCTCGCGTGATAAAAGAAATTCGTGCGAATATTTGATCTAATACGAAGTCGACAGAGGATTACCTGATGATTTCTGGTTTTTGGTAGGTGTGTTCACGGTTTTACGGATGGCTTTATTTCGTTTAGTTTCGAATTCGTCTGGAGATATTCCCTCTGCCACTCGTTTATTATCATATTCTTGAAGTATCTTTTCGTATCAGACGGAGTTATTTTGGTGATTATCCTTGACCTATGATCGTTTATCGCTCCTTCGGCTGCAATATCTACCTTTTCATTACACAATAAGAAGTATTTTTTCGAAAGAAGGTCATAGGCTGCTTTGAAATTTTTATCTCTATTGGAAAAACTATTACTTTATGCCATCGCCATGTTCCACCAGAAAATCACACTTTTTTCGACAAAGAAATCAAATTTCTTTGCCTATCATTGCGAAGATGAACTATTTTGAATCAAGATAATATAATATCATTTCAAAATCCACCACCTATTTGAAGGGGAAAATAAACTGTTTCAAATGAAGAGCAATATCAACTTGACCTGAACACATAGTGTTCATATGAATTTAATACTGTATTCCTTCAAATAACTCAATGCGTTTATAACAAGAGTTTTGTGAATCTACATACATAACTATATTATGATCGACTGAAAATAACAGAAATTTTGTATAGAATGAACAGGGTTTCTTTTAAAGAAGTATTTCATTCATTTCAGTTTGAAAAAACCTGTGGTGCTCTGGTCTTTCTATGACCCTCTTAAGTGAGAGGGGAGCGGGGAATTCCGTTGTAAGCATCGCGTACGCGCCAGTATGCGTTGAAAAGTGATGTTGGTGTGTTGCGTTTTTGAGAAGTGTTTTATGTGTCTGTAGGCAGTGCAATTTCTTTCCAATAATTATTTTGTATCTATCATAATGGAACACATTTTACAAGACTGGGGTCTTGCACAGTTGAGAGATATTTTCATGGGTAAGTATTATGATTGGATAAAACTCCCCTATATCAGTAAGTATCGAGTTGTATACGTAGTACCTGAGAGAAAGTGGTAAACTTTGACGGCAACTCTTGATTTTGCGAAAATTATAACAATGCTCCGTAATTTTTCACACTTGAATTATTACATTTGCCGGGCTCTGCAAGTGTATATTGACTTAAACTGAAAAATCCTCCACGTTGATTCAAATTTGCCAATCTCTTGTTTTGAACATACGTTTTATCTTGTTTCAAGTAAGAGCATTTTCTCTTAATAAAATTTGATTTTAGAGCAAATTCATTTTTTATTGAAATATAGAGGTACTTATAGTTTCGACAATGAATTATAATACAAAAAATACCAAAATAGGCATCAGTTGGTATAAAAAGCTTCCATATGTGACAGCCACTTTCTGATTTCAAGATGTAAATATTTGTTGAATTCCGAAACATCTTTGCTTTCTGTAATCACTTCAGAAATGTTTTTATGTTATTCATTGGGAACAAATTGAATATACCCTACTCAGCTTGAAATTATTTGATAGATTTCCTTCAGGAATGTAAGAAATAGGTAGAAATATTACCAAAGTCACTAGAGATGAAATATGAATTTCCAAAAACGTGAATGCTGTTATTTAAATAGCCAATCATATTCCTTTAAGTATGTCTGTATGATAATGAGTTACATTTTTTTAAAGAAACATTTTATATTTTTCATTGATCCTCTAATAATACTTACACGACACTTTGAATTCCTATAACGGTTCCAAAATTATTATTTTGAAATGCAATTTTTCTGTATAGACCTCTGTTCACTTCAAAGGAATTTGAGGTAGATCTTTTGAATTGATCGTTTATTTCTGATCAAATAATGTTCAAGCACCTTTCAACTTGCTAGGAATCGTATGTTAAATAATAAGACCTCAGACAAGTTTGAAATTTTGAGGGTTGTCATTTGCATGCGAACAACAATTGGGTTGGTTAACGGAATAAACCCACTTAAACAGGGTTTTATTGAAAAAAAAATATATTTTTTTTGATTAAGTGGCTGCTGTTTTCATATTTTTAATTTCTCATACGGAGACATTTAAATAATGTTCCAAGTAAACATATCATTCCTTCAAAACCCAAAACAGTTTTGCTTCAAAATTGATTTTGCTCAGACTAAAGAATGCATATTTACTTCTTTTGAGCTAATGTGATGATTTTTATAGAAATGTATGCACAATCTTGGTGGAATATTTTTTTTTACTTAAAAGAAGCGTTTATCCAGTCCATTCGAAATAATGATTCAAATTCAACTTGAGAGAATATGTTTTTCAGTTGAAAAAAATATTTCTTCATGAATATAGGAGAGCAAGATTTCTTTAAATCGAGATAATTTTCTTCACTTTGAGATTTTTATTTTTACTGTGTACCAGCGATTTCAATATGTTATGGGACCCATAATAATATTACTTCCTTCCCTAGCTTTTCGATTCTATATAGTTCATTTTTTATTAGTAATAATTTGGGATTGTATCTATATAACTGTTGCGTATCCTTGATAGCACTCAAAGAGATTGTTACAATCAGAAGTCTATCAGCAGGATGATTTTTCAGAAATAATAATGCTTGTAGTATTGCGAATAGTTCAGCTGTGTATATACATGTAGCTTGGGGAAGCTTGTATTTTGAAGTTTCGTTCGGCGATACAATAGCTGACCCAACTCCCTGATCTGTTTTTGAAGCATCGATGCACAGAATTACATGGTTCTCATGAAGGATCAGTTTTTGTTTGAATAAGTCCAGTAGAATTTGATGAGGAGTATGATTTTTTGTGGAACAGGATGTAAAGGAGTCATATATAGGAGTATTGATCATCCAAGGAGGAGGGGTAGCTATGGAGTTGTAAAATAATGATGGAAGTGTATATCCTGATTGTTCTGAATATTTGTTTATTCTTCCGTGAAAAAAGGGGCTGTTCTTGGATGTCCCATGAAATTTTGTTTGAAATAACTCGGAAAAACATTACTATATGTACAATGTGTTGGTTTGGTTGCAATAGAAGTAGCATAGGAGAGACTCATATACTGTCTACGGTACCTTAGTGGGGTTTCATTTGCTTCGCATGATAAGCTTTTGATTGGGTTTCTTTGATGGGCACCTAAATCTATTCGAACTGCTGTATTTTGAACAACAATGTCTAGTTTTTGGATTGTCGACTGGTTTGCAGAAGCATATGCTTTTGATCCATAGTTGATTCTAGATCTGGTAAAAGATCTGTAGAGTAGAATAAGTGTAGTTGTGTTGGCACCCCATGTTGTATTGGATAGCATCTTCAACGAATTCAAACCTCTTTGGCACTTTCTGATGGGATGGTGTATGTGTGATTTCCAGTTTGATTTGCATTTGCTTATTCTTTCTTCTTCAACCTATAAGTAATAGCATTTTTGTTAATTTCCAGGAATATCATAGACATTATGGGTGGATGTTACGAAGGGATGCAGCAGGAAAATGTTATAAGCTACAACCAACAGGAGGTAGGGTCAAATAATAGATTCTACATAAACGCTTTGGATAATACAATTGGCGTTCAATGTTTCGGGGGTGGAAAACTGAGACTGAAAGTACAGCGAATATGGCTGGTTGCTGAAAGCATTGATAATATCAAAACCAGTGAAGAAGACATACATTTTGCCATCGAACGTGTTTCCTGAAAATGAGAAAAAGTAAACTATAGATTAGGTTCATCATTCCAAACTATGATGTACTTTATACTATAAATACAAAGTATGCAGAAATGAAATGTCTCACCGATTTTTTTTATTCTGAAATACTGATGTGGAGTTGTTTCATCACATTCTCAAAATTGGCTGCAGATAGGAATACTGGTGTTACTTTTCTGGGAAATTTCCATTGAAAACACTTTTCCAACACCAGAACAAAAATTTCGGTTACTGGTTGCAACCTCAGGAGATGATTATGACTCAAACTGAATGACAATATCCTGAGGACGCTAACTTGGTTAGCGAAACGCACATCGCGAAACCGCAATTTTTGTTCTGGTGTTGAGAAAGTGTTTTCAATTGATTAATTTCGGAGGTTCCAGTACGAACTATCAAACAAGGATTTTTTTCAATCCCGATTCTCGAAATTGCGATGCGGTAAGTTTCAAATCACCGTAAATAAAATTGTTTCATTTTTCACTCCAACAACAATCATCAACCACGTATAAATTTTTTTTTTCTTCTCTCATACTCTAATCCTAGCTTTTCTAATGGTTTCAGCCACTGGTGAAATGTGTGTTGCATGATTATAGTATCTTTTGGTAACTCCACAGTACACTTACACTTATTGAAAGTAACAGTTATTATCTTGTAAACATAAATAAACGGAAATTTATGAAGCATATTATATTGAAACAGAAGTTATGCGTTATATATTGATACGTGAATGCAAAAGGCAGAAGCCGTATCTTTATTCGGCATATTTTTCCAAGTATCTCCTTAGCATTGATTCGGAATAAATATACCACATTCAATATTGAAATGATGGGAGTGTTGACTGAGGAAATAAAAGAGAGAGAGAGAAAGAGTAATTTTCCTAATTGTCTCATCCACAAAAATTCTTGAAATTCTCATCGACAAATAATTGAAGGAATCAGCAACGCAGTAGTATGGTTTCTCACTAAACAAAGATTTCAATGCTTGAGTAAAATCAAAAGCTCAAGATTGTTGAGCTATTGATTTTATTCATCTCCAGTGATACATTGTTGTAAATTTTACAACCATCGTTGAGGCTTCAACAAAATTTGTGGTTGGTTCGATTGCAGAAAATTACCCTTTAATATCGGAAAAACAGTTTTTGTACCATTTTGTAGCTACCAGTCTTCCTTTTCAGATTTCAATTCCTTGACAATCCACAACCAACCTCAAATCAAATTTGTAACTCACCTTAAATATCTTGGAGTCATAATCGACTCTCATTCAAGATGGAATCACCAAGTTGATTACGTCATAAGAAAATTAAGGTTGATCTTATATGAGTTTCGGCACTTTCAGGACATACTAGATCTCAGTCGTCAAAAAACTTTAAACTATAGCCTAGTGCAAAGCCACAAAACATACTTATTGAATGACGGGTAGGGGAGGCATCTCAAAAACTTATCTACGTACATTCAAATGAGATTTCTAAAATTATTGTTTAACAAAAACATAAAATATGCAACCGAACCACTGTATAAACAATCGAATATTCTGGATCCTACACCACTAATTTATAAATCTCTGCTCCTCAAACAATACAAAGAATGAAGTGAAGTCATCAAAATAACACATATGTATATGATATGAAATAAAGTCCGGTATATAACACCTCTTGTTGCAAAATTAATAGGACAAAAATCGTATGAGTTCCTGGGAACGAAAGTGTTCAATAGTTTACCACTTCATATTCAAAATTCCAAGTCGTACGTTCCATTCAAAAAATAAGTTTGTAAACATAAATTTGAAACACTTCATTTGTCAATCCATATACTTTTTGAAATAATTTTTCAGTTGATGATCATATCGTTGATATACACCAAACAGAAGAGCGGGTCCAGAATTGAGCCGTGAGGTATGCCAGTCTTCAGAGAATATTATTGATTCAATCATATGGCTTAGACCTGATACACCATTCCGTGAAAACTTTTTGTCGGGTTTATGAAAGATCTCAAAGAATTGTTGTCCACTCATTCCATTGAAAATATTGAAATATATGATATTTTACGAGATTGTATGGAACTCAACAATACCAGTATGGCAGTAACAACGCAGGCGACTTATGAAGTTGATCTCTAAGGATGCGCTTTGATGTGGAAATAAATCTGTTGAAATTACAGTACGAATTTTGCAGTATATATTGCAATTCGCAATGATGCATAGAAAATTATCATTGGATTTGAGCGAAACATGCAAGAGCAAGAGAGCAATAAGAATGTTAGAATGCATTGCATATAACTTCAATTCTTCAATTCGCTCGAAAATGTTTCCTTCTCGATGAAAACATGCTTTATTAACACGCCCATATATGTTGGTATAGATCTAACAGAACTTTCCAAATTGTGTCCGATAATTTTCTTGCATACTCTCGCCATTCTAAATGTTTGTTTCATAATTGACGATTTCTATCATGCAGAAATGTACTATCATGTAAAGAAGGTGGATATGTCAGTTTTCATGGTTAAAACTTCATGTGAAATTTTGTTGTGAATATGATCAAGATTTTCGATTTATATTCGGTGAAAATGTACAAAATTTTTAATATTGATGCATATGCTGCATTTTGGATAATTATTGTAAAAATCTCTGTTTCTACTAACTATGAAGGAACTGTACCAGAATCGGTCGATACCTAAAGATTTCCTAATTGTGCTAAGAGTATTTGATGCTCAATAATATTTCATAAGATATGAACCCACTGTTGTTTTCAGAGATAGAAATACCATACATTGAAAATTCTGCATCTTTTAATTTGGCGAAGGAGACGGGTTATTTTACTCATTTCAGTTAGTTCAGTTCAGTTTGAGTTCATAAGCTCAGGTGTCCGGAGTGTAATAGTGTGTATGTGAAACAATGTGGTCGACATTTCTCAAAACGGTATCCTGAATATGAAAGGTCCTTCAGACTAGGAGAAAATGATTTGACATTTTCAAACGGTTCCCGACGTTTTCAAACCGTTCAACCACAACCCGAATCTAAACAGTACGTACATTTTGTACTATACAAGCAAGGATTGGAAACTCTATTGTTTGGATTTCTTGAAAATTCATGAGCATAAGCATTGCGGATGCAATCTGCTAAGTGATCAAATCGATATAGTTCACTCACCAGTTTTTACATTAGCTTATCCACATTGTCACAGGTAAAAAAATTTCAAGTACACAATTGAGTTATGGACCTCTATTATGACCTACTGTAGATATATGAGGTCTTACGAAACTGCAGTAACATCAGTTACAAATGAAAGTGGTAAATGAATATAGTTTGAAATACTAAAAAACACGCTTTCAAAGAACATGAAACTGAAAAGTTGAATTTTTTTTAAATGAGCTCAAAAGAATAACGAACGAGAAAAAGGCGACAGGCGCTTGATATACAAAAAATTGGGCACAAAACGGCCACGCTTTTTCCACAATAATACTAGAATTTTTTCGTTCGTTATTGTTTTAGGCTTGTTCAAAAAACAGTTTACCTTTTTAGTTCGATGTTCTTTAAAAGAGTGTTTTTTTGTTTTTCAAACTATATTAATATTTCATTTTTCAGTTTCGTATGATATAAAATCGTTTATTTCAGTCTTTTTAAGGAAGTTACGTAAAGCGCCATCTGACCGCGAATAGGTCAAGCAATAATAAAAAAAAACTAATCAATACAGTTGATTGTATGATTTTTTCTATGAAGGGATTTACAGAAACCGCGACACGTGTTTTGCTGTACAATAGCTTTTTCAAGACTAAGGAGTTTGTGCTTGAGGAAGCTATTGTATAGCAAAACACGCGTCACGGTTTTTCTAAAACCCTTTATAGTGAAAATCATGCAATAAACTGTATGATTTAATTTTTTAATATGGATTTTCATCAAGTGTCGGCCAGTTCTATTCAGGTGTTATGTACAGCGCCATCTGCACACGAATAGATCAAGCAATAATGTCGATAATCCTGTCAAATACAGATCCCGAGTTTGAGAGTTACAAACAAACTGACAAACAAAGAAGTTTCAGAGAAAAAGAACAAAAAACTTATTTTATTTAAATATCTTTGTTCTTGCACAATATTTCGTGATTCTGTGCAGACAGCAGTCTTGATGAAAGATCAGCAACTCATCAAGTTAAGGAAAATGAAGAAACTCAGCTTCCCTCTTTTGAAAAATGAAAAAGCATACTCTGATATCTACCCATATCAGACGAGCAACCGACGATATTTGAAAGGTTGAAACTTTTGTTAGGAAAAACATCTCTCCAACTAAAAAAAAAATACAAATGCCTGGAAGTGACAGTAAGATCTATTGAGATGTTTTCACTTGTTGTATTAGACCATATGTTCCAAAAATTTTAAGAAAGGACATATTCAAAAAATTGCACAGTCTGTCTCACCCTGGTATCAAATCAACTATAAAACTCATCAAAAATAAAAATATTTGGCCTGAAATTGAGAAAGATATCAGAGAATGGGTTCAAAACTGTATCCCCCGTCAAAAATCCAGAGTGAATAAACATGTGGCGACTCCTGTCGGCAAGTACAATATCCCAAACTCAAGATTTAACACATCAATATTGATATCGTCGGACCTTTGCCACCTTCAAATGGTTTCTCTCATTGCCCAACATACATACACCGGTTTTCCAGATGGGTAGAAGCACTTCCTATGGAAGACATACGTGCTGAAACAATGGCTGGTGGATGGATCACTAGATTTGGAGTACCTTCTAGAATAACCACAGATCACGGAAGACAGTTCGAGAGTTCCTTATTTCCTGAATTTTCAATTACTTGAGAACTACACCATACCATCCAAGCTCTAATAGCATGATTGAAAGGTTCCACAAAACTATGAAAGCTGATCTAACAACAATTCTACTTGGTATACGAGTTATATACCGAAAGAAGATTCAGGTGGTATCATTAGTGCTGAGATGGTAAATGGAATGACCCTAAGAATTTCTGGAGAGATGATTGTTGAAGATGCAAGAGTGAACCCTAATCACGAATAAATTTGAAATAGTATCAAAGAGAAAATTAATGAAATGAAATCAACAAAAGGTTCTGATCACAGCAACAAC